AAACTTTAATTTCTCACACAGTTTCAATGCTGCTACATTATTTCATCATACTTGCGGTTTTCAAATCTTGGACTACTTTTTCTTTGGACCTTCATTTTTTTCAGACCTCTATTACAATGTAAGAGCATACGAATACAAATATCTTGTCTCCATCTTATTAAAAAACATTATAATGAAAAAAAAAACGTTAAAAATGAAAGAAGACACAGAGAAAAAATAATTTCAAAAATGAATGAATCGACTGAAGTAAGTGTCAATTCTCAAAACCCCCCGTTAAATCATAAATAGCCAAACATTCAATCCGGCAAATTCTGATTACTGAAAATCATCTACCGAATAAGCTCCAATGTGAGACGAAAAACGTCCCACGTTGATCCCACGTTGATTCTCAAAACCTCCGTTTAATCATAAAGAGCCGAAAGTTTTGTAAAATTTAATTGAATAAAACTCTTAGATTTTAGAATCCACAATTTTTCGTTTAAGAATTCCCTGAAATTAAATTCAATTTTTCAAACTCAAAGTTGAATTCAAGTTTTAAGCGGTATATTTGTTTCAAAGATGATCAGGCCGCCAACTACAAAAACTCAATTCACTTTCGTTTGACAATTCTTGGAAAATAAATGAAACAATATACTTCATGATCCCACTTTTTTAAGAACTACTAGAGAACTCATAAACATTTTTCAAAAAAAATGCACTTTTTAAAAGTGGTGCCTGTCGCTACCTATCTGTTCATTCCTTTTAAAAGACCTTGATTGTGTTCGGTTGGATACTTTTGAAGTCAAATTTTTTCTCAAGAGTTTAGGGACTATTAAGAAATTGAAATCGGAAGATGAATACGCCAGTACCGACTTAGCCATGAGGTTGTTGTGGTAGCGACCGACAAATGACTCGAATAAGAAAGGCCCAAAAGAAGTGGCGTGCTACAAACACCAAGCACTGTATCCGTCACACAAAACTGCACACACTCGCTTCAAAAAAACTTTTTGAAAAAATTATGTTTTGTGTTTGAATTTTGTGGCTTGAATAGTAAAACGTTTTCCTGTAATATTCACTCTTTGCGCAACTCTAGTAGAGCTGAAACACTAATGTCAGTCTCACAAGTTCCAGCTGATAAAGCTGAAATATTATTCTACTCATTTAACTACGTTGCTCATTAGTGAAAAATCCGGAGGGTGTTCAACACCAATGTAGTCTGTAGAGCTGTATATCACCAACACTCACAACCTACATAATCAATGTAGCCTCATAATAGCCAAAGGAATTCATTACGGACTGCTCGAAAATCTATAAACGCGATAAATAGTTTGTATATGTGAACACATCTTAATGTCTGACTTAGGAACATATTCCTTGGAAAACCAATATTTCAGACGGCAGACATGCCGCAACAAGAGGCAACTGAAATCTTTTATTTAGAATTTTCAGGATTAGAATCTGAATCAAAAAACATACTTCTCACCCAAGCTCAACAACGTCTGTTAAGCGAACACACCCAATAAAAATCGAAGCTCTACCATATCTGATAAACATGTTATTAGGCGGAGACGGAAAACACACAAGGGAACACCGTATTGTTTACGTGTCTGGCCGGTTTGAGCGCGAAATTCAAATTTGAATTTTTTGAGAAAAGTTGGAAAATTACTGTTTTCAAGGAAGCTAATCGGCTTTCAGCATTGTTTTTTATATTAAAATGATCAAACTTTGACAATTTACTGATCCCAAAATTTCCTCTTTTTGATAATTATATTTGTCAAGGTACTGTACACAAAGAGAACATCCCTGATATATTCATAGAATAGAAGCGAAGATCAATTTTTTGAAATACAGACAAATAATAGCTTTCTGGATTTTCTGATTTCGTAAAACCTCAATATTCAAATCGCAATTTGTTTTTTTACCCTGGGCATTTTGTACGTTGAAACTAATCAACATGATTACATCTAGAGAATAATTCCGAGATTTGAGGCTGATTAATAGTCGTATAGAAATTTTGGTGTCGTTTATTCAAAATGAGTTTTAGAACAACTTAGAACAAAATTACTTTTAGTCTCAAAAGTCCTATTCACACAGTTATTAGATTTTATCAATTCAATCAATCCTATCATCCAAAAATGAGAAACTAAATAGTAAAAAAATACCGACCGTATTCCCAGGGAGAGCTGAACATCTTTGAACTGTCATTTCGGCGGCAGTCATTGAAAATATTTCAGAGAAATTGAGAGAAAAAAGGTTAGGTAATGATGAGAAAAACGAATCGACAGATTTCGAACAGTGAGTACACAAAACAGAGAATACCGGAAATCGTATTAGACTAAATAAAACTGCTTCGGGGAATCCCAAAAAAATATAACTTGAAAAAAGAAGTCTGAAATGCAGAGAACTTCTGAAAATGTTAAATAAAATACGACGTGGGCTGAATTCGCAAGAACCCAGGTGAAGATGAGGTGGGCGCCTCCTAGTCGCACCTGCATGATTTTTATTTACAAAATAAGTAAACTCACAAAATTTTTTTTCTAGGAAATTTGAATATTGCGATCATTCTGTAAACTAGGATGTAGGTATAAAGTTGAGTTTCATAAAAATGAAACACAACTTTTTAGGAGCAACACAAAAAAAATTAGAAAACTTCATTTTTTTTCAAATCAGGTGAATTAAGATTCATTGCGTGTAGATGGATTCGAAATGAGTGTTACGATCAAAATCAAAAAATAAATCGAACAGTTAAATACATTCTAGATACTTGTGCATAAAAAAGAATTTAAATTCAGAAACGAACAAGTAAGAAACAGCTGGGGACAAACGACTTTGGTGGAGACTTCTTAAAATAAAAAATCGGCATGTGCCCAGAGAGAAATGAAAAGAAAGAGAGAGAGAGCCCATAAACGAGAAATGTGCTCGTTACCCACAATCTGGAAGCAATCCAGAAAACTCATTCTCGGAAACAAATATCGATTGTCGTTTTCTCTCTTTCACTTGGTTTAGAGTATACTAATGGCTGCCACGACAACGGAGATAGTAGAGAGGGGTCAGTCACGCGGATGGATAATGTCTATCGAAGCATAATAGAGAGGAAATGGTGGAAAAAACTTTGAAACTGATGTTAGAGACGGATCAATGTAGAAGAATGCACGGCTTTTGATGAATCACAAAAATTATTGGGAATCGAAAACCCTATTCATGAACTCTTTTCTTGAAAAGTGGTTTTTTTTATCTACTGCAAAATGTGGAAATTGAAAAAAAATTGTTGTTTTTCTCGAAAAGTCCCTTTTGCACAAAACGAATATTTATCTTGTTCTAATTATAATTTTAAAAATAATACTTTTAAAAACCGTATAATCTGCTTATGATTTTATCAGATTTGAATTTTGTAACTGTATCGTATTTTTAAAATTTTGACTTATTTTCTTATTTTTAAAATTTTGATTGAAGCTAAAAAAAATAAGGTGCTGTGTTTGAAAAACGGTTTTTCGTATTCTATTATCCAATGTAAAAGAAACAAGTTTTCGATACATTTTCCCATCGGAAAAAATAAGTCCATCGAATTTTTCAGAGAAACTGATTTTCCCAAGAAAAATCATGAATAGGCTGCACTTCGAAAATCCGGAAGACAAAATTCTCTGAAATTTCAAAAGGTCACGGACTAATCCAGGATCAATTCCTCATTTCCCGAACATTTTCTGTCTGATGAAAATGGAGCAAAATCCAATTTGGAGATCACCCACTCATTTTCCCTAAAAAACATAATCCCTTCCGAGAATTTGGAGTTTCAGGATCAGAAACTAATATTAGATTGCCTGAGTGGAATAGAAAGTTTGGGGTCTCAACAAATCGCAAAAATAAAATAAAAAACTCAAAATAGAAAAAAAATTCAAAATGTTTTGGAAAGTTAAATCACAATCAAATACGGCTTCTCGCCATAACAGCAAAAGAAATAAAGAAAAAATTACCTGTAACCGGACGACAAGAGAAAGAAAAGGAAATGAGTCGCCAGCAAGTCATCAACACTGCTATATAAACCATAAAAATTATACATTAAGAACTGTTTTCCTCTCTCACTCTCTCTCTCACTCTCTCTCTCTCTCTCTCTCTCTCTCTCTCTCTCTCTCTCTCTCTCTCTCTCTCTCTCTCTCTCTCTCTCTCTCAAAAAGGAAAAGAGAGAAGATAGGTCAATTTATTCATAAAAATAACGATGAACTATGCATATTCGACGCTCTCTATTAACTTTCGTTTTTTTTCGCCGCTTTTCCGTTTTTTAAGTTTGTTGCAAAAGCCTATTGAACCCTCAATGATGGATATAATGGGAAGAAAAAAGGGGAATGTCAGTTTGAATTGAGATGTATACGAAGAAAACTGATGAGATCAAATTTTTTGGCAGGAGTTCAAAAAATACAGGGCACAAAAGATATCTAAGTTCATTCGAGAATGATTTTTCGAAAAAAAATTTATAGTTTCAAGCGTTTTGTGATCCTTTTTTTGACAAAAAAAAAAAAGTTTTTTTTGCTTCGAGGAAGCTAAATGCTAAAAACAAATCCAGAGAAGATTACTGCAGAACAAAGCAATTTATACTTCTGAACTTTTTCCTCCTTGATCACATAATACATATTTCATAAGAATTTATATCATCAGCATATCAAACAAATAAACCATACAGTATACTAGAAAGATGAACTTTTGGTTTTAACAAGACTGGAAATTTTTCACTCTGGGGGTTCGTTGACACGGGTCACAAAAAACTACAAAAAAACATTCTAAAAGTGCAATCAGAACCCAGTTACTCGTGGGGGAGTTTTGCTCAAGAATGGAGCTACAGTACAGATGAAGATTTTTCGTTTTCAAAAAAAATAGTTGGTAAGATACAGGCGAAATCTGAGAACGTCAGAAAAGGGACACGTAAATGCAATATGGTTTTCTAGGAAACACTACAGGGGAAGCAAAATAAGAAATCTGTAGAGGCATGAAATGGTATTAACAACATACAAAGCATAATTGTTTTCTGGTCACAGAATAATATTGGAAACGGCGTTGAACGTGACAAGAGCATTCACGAATTGGAAGTTGGTCAGGTATTGCGAAATGATCACCGACGATGTGATGGCTAGAATGCAGTATGGAGCCCAGAAGACGAGATTCAAGGAAAGCATAATGAACGCCTGAAATATTATTTCTCTGGGGTGCTGGATATTGAAATTTTTGAAATCTGGTTATTCAAGTTTGTTTTCGGTGCACTGTGCAGCCAGATGTTTTTTTTCCGTTTTGAAAAAGAAAGAAGAGCAGCTTTAGAGATTTTCAACTGTTCCATTTTTTCAATAATTTAGTTTTGAATTGCTTATTGTATTTCATCAGCAGACGACCCATAAAAAATTGTAACCGATTCTAAAACTGAGTGTTTTTTGGGTCGTAAATTCTCTTCAGCCGTCCTTACAATGTACTAAAACCAAATAAGTATTTATTGGCAATTACCTTCCACCTTGCATTCCTCCGAGCTGTATCTACAGTAACCACCCACATGGTGTTGGATCGAGAACTCGCCGGAGCACTTTGTCGACGAACTGTAATATTTAACAAATAAAACAGAAATCTTGAAACTGAAAAACGTTTTGAAAAACAAAACATTTTTCGGAAAACGGAAATTTGAACAAAGCTGCTAGGGAAAGTTATAATACTGAATAATAGGGAGCATAGGTAACCATGCGTGACTCATCTTTGGGATAGTTTTACGTTTGCTGTCTTTGGACATTTTGAACAGATTTAAAAGGAACATTGGAACATATGGGTACTCGTACGATTCACGTGCTGTTTTCACGTTTTGTCCTAATTCTACCTTCTCCCTTTGTCAGTTTTGGCAATCGCAACTCTGTTCTATGTCCTTGGAAATGAACAGAACCTTCTGATCCGTTGTGGAATAGATCCAACAGGAGATTCCAGAATCGTCGAAGACATCCCTCCGGTTCTGTTTCTGCTGGTAGAGCAGGAGCTGCTGCTAAAATTTCTGGTCTTTTGGCCGCTGGAAATAAGAAGTACAATGTCTGCTTGATGGTGGCATTTTCACCTGTAGCGGATCCATTTTCATCAAGGCATACTGTAAGGCTTGATGAGTTTTTCATTCTGGATGGAACATCCACAGATGCCGCTCTTCTTCGCTCCATGTCGCCTGAAATGTTTTGTTTAAAAAGTTTACTAAAGTTTTGAATAGCAAAATTGAAAAGCAAATGGAAAAAGAAATTATTCTAAAACACAAAAAAAAAACCAAAAATGAACCAAACACTCACAGCTTTTACCTTCCGGTGCTATATTTTGCAGTCTTTTTGTCCAAGATGGAACCCGAACCATGAGATTGTCTGATTCCTGAGTGACATTCGACTCGATTGGTGAATCACGCTGTCTTGCACTTTTGCAACAACAGAATCTGAATTATTTTGGGCTCAAGTGAGTTACTGAACTTTTACACTCACATATCCTTAACTATATCAGACAGACTAACAAATCTCCCTTTGGATGCACCCTTCAGAATATACAAAATCAAAGTGTAGCATATTAATTCCAGTGCATATGGCATTACACAAATTGTTGCTAGATGGAGAACATTGTAGAGCTAAAAGAAGAATCCATTTTTGATCTCTCAGTTGTTACTATTGCTCACTCTTTCTAGATAAAGCCAATTTCGGTTGTTAGTGTGTAGCTCTTCGAGTGTGAATCCCGGCTCCGATGGGAAGTCTTCTTCGGCGTACTGAAAAAAAGCATTGCGAAAATAAAACTTTCTAACAAGTCTCGTTAGAACCGTCCATATGACTCTTCCAATTCTGACTTCCTCTTTTTTTATTCACCTCTTGCACTTTTCATCTCCCCCACAAACTCCGATAATTCTTTTTTCCCCTGTCTATTCTTCACTTGCAAAGAACAGAAAAAAGTGCTAACCCAGAAGTCTCTCATTCAAAACTCTCTTTCTCCTATCTTCCTGCTTTTTTTACGTTGACCTAATCTACAAAAAAAAACACGCTTCAATGAAGAAGGAAATTAGCTAGAAATTTTTTCGTCTCTCTGTGTCCACTCCCACCTTCAATGTTCCATTTGCGTAGAAATAGAATGACGATTTGTTTTCCAGCTCCTGCTGAATGAACTTGTACTGCTCCAATAGTTCCAGCCGGTCGTAGAAATCAACTCGGTGTTCGGTCCTGAAAACGGAATTGATTAAAAAAGAGAATTCAAGATCAACTAACCAAATCGAAATGCATTGTGGAAATCCTTGTGGTGTGGTTTTCTGTCTGAACAGGATGAGCTGTGGTCCGGCACAAATAAGAGCCAAAATCCATGCAGCCGCCAATGATAATCTAGTGTTGTATTGACGTTTTTTGATCTGAAAAAGCTTGGGAAAATATAGAGGATCCGATTTGTTATAACCCACGTTTCGCGTAACCCTATTCATCTTGGCAGTGATCAACAATCGATCAGCAGCTACTAAAACTTGCATATTAGCAGTTAAGTGAAATCCAAATGTTGAGATAAACTTGAATAATCGGCAGCCAATGTCACCACCAAACCACTGAAACAAACCAATTTTCTAAAATTATAGGTTGTTAAAAAAAGCTTACCCAGTACGAATGGATCCAAGCAAACTGAGTCGGTGCATAAATGAACAATACGATGCAATCAGCAACTGATAAGCTGATTTTGTACGAGAAGAGTCGAGCGGCGAGTACGAGGTGCTGTCGGGAAGATCGAGATCTGAAAATAATCCGAATTTTCCAGTTCTACAGCAACCATCACTACTAAGCAAGAACGACACTATTAGTTGGAAGAGGGAAAATGATTGGGATCGATGAAGAAATCTGTAATAACTATAAAAGCGAATGGACTCTATGAAAAGCTGTCTCACGACTACAACAAAACAAACTGAAGTAAAATTTCTCACTGTGAAAATCTGAAAACATTATCGCTCAACTTTTCTATTTACTTCCCTTGTTTTGACAATTTTTCGAAACTCTTGGAGGGATGTTCGGAATGCTTTATTTAACATTTTTCTGACAAGTAACAAAAGTAACGAAAATTCCGAGTTTCGAAATTTTGAAATATCGCAATTTTTGGAAACTTTTGATTTTGAAATTTTTTTGCATTTTGGAAAATACCAATTTTCAAGGATTTTCGCTCGAAAACCCCACAATTTGAGAATTAAAATTCCGAAAAAAAATATTTCGAAAATATTTCGACCGGAATTTTCAGATTTCCGAATTCCGTTCAGAAAATTCTCATACTCTTGCATAGAAACTTCTATGCTACAAAACTACAGTACCTTGCCAATCGGACCACTGTGAAAATGAAAGCTGGAAGTCCCACACAGAACGCGATACCGTACATCCATAGCTCAAGCTGAAAAACTTTATATTTTCTCTACTATTCCTGACCTTTGTAATCTTACCGTATAACTGAAACTGAGCTCAACCCTTTGAGTTTCTTGTTGCGTTGCCTCGCTCATTTCTGCGATGCTTCGTAGACACGTTCGGCAAAAACGATGATCAAAATAACATTCACCCTACAAAACAAAATGTTTTCATGGTCTTCATTAAACAAGAAGCAAAAAAAAAGAGGAAGATACAAAGAAAATACCACGGTAATGAAAAACTCTGAAATCTGAAGAGAAAAAATAGACGTGTCTAATTTGATCTACATATCAAAAGTTGTGTGGGGAGGGTTTAGTAATAGGCGGGTTTTGTGAAAATCCGACGATAATTATTAGGTAGAACAAAATCTGATATCAGTTGGTAGTCCACTAAAATTTGAGAATTTTGGAGATTCAAATTAGTTGGTTTAGGAGAAGATCTTAGAGAATTTTCTGACAGAATCTAAAAAAAATGAAAGATAAATTCTCCGCAATGAGCAAAATTGCGTGATGTATCTATAGAGAGTCATGACGACTTGAAAAATGCTAAGATACGATATAAAAACAAGAAAAAAAAGCATAGAAATAGAGAACAATTTTGTTTCCATCGGCAAAAAAGAGCTGGTGACTAATTAGAACATTAGGCACTTTTTTTTTAGATTTTGGACCCATGTCTGTCTGGGTCAAAAATGAGAAACGGAAGGTTAAATGAGAGAGAAGAGGAAAAACAATGAACGAACAAATAAGGTATGCTTCTATGGCCCACGTGATGTGCTGATATCCAGAGTCAGGGGAAATAGAAAAAAAAGAAAAATGTTGAATATCCACAATACGGGAGATTTTCGAATTTAGTTTGGAACCAGATGAAGAAGAATTTTAAGGAGTTGAAATCTAATTGCTATTTCAAATATTCTACCAGAGTTACCATACCCTTCAGTGAATAATTAAAACTAAAAAGTGAAAAATTAGAGCAGCGATGAGTCGTCGTACCTATTCCATTGTGACCCACCACCAAATAGAAATAGAATGAAAACAATGACATAGGGCAAAAAAATGGCGGATGCAGGAGAAAAAGTTTTCTCCCTTTTTTGAAATGACGAGTTTGAAAATTAAATGCATCAGGCTCAGAGTTGAAGGAATTGAAAAAAAAAACGATTCCAGCAACCCTGACTGTGTACCCTTTTGCTTCTTGTCGCAAAATAATTATGACCTTGCTCTCAAAAAGAAAACGAAGGCATGCACAAAGCTATTTTTTTCCGCGCTTTCTCCGCCTCTTTTTTTTCTTTAACGAGGTTAATCTAGGAGAGCCGCGAGCCGAGAGGAAAAAGGAAACGTCTTTGTGATGAGATGAGCTTTTGGCGATTGCGATTTTCCTTCCTTTTTTCACTGGGTTCGGGTAGAAGGAAATTGGAAAAAAGATTATCCGAAAATTTCACCCTACGGTAGATTTATTGAAATGGGAACGGATTATTGGAAGTATTTTTGGATGGGAAACAACAAAACAATAACTTATCGAGGAAATTCGGTTGTGGGATAAAGGAGAAATCATTTGCATGAATTATCCAGATGGGAGAATAGAAACGAAGGATGGGAAAAAATCGAGGGCGTTTTTTCTCTTCTCGGTTAGCCTAACTCCGTGAGGTTGCTGAATTGAATCCGGTGATCAAAAAGCAAACAAAGAAGATAAACGATAAGTTTTGAAGTCAACGACTTCGTAGTTTTCTTTTTGTTCTCTGTTTTGAGTATTGATATTATTTTAAGAAAATTTCAATCATTTCTAGACGAAATTTGGAGGAGGATATATATTCTTATAAGCTGAAATCCAAAGCTGTGGATCTTTGAAAAAAATAAGTTAGACATTTTCTTTATAGTTGTGAATCGGAAATTCGAGAGATTTTCGATAACCAAAAATTACATAATTTAGAGTCAAAAATTTGAAGATCGTACGAAACGCATATTAGACCAAGAGAAATTGTTAGTTTCTTGAAAAAACACGTCAATGTGAAATTACTATCTAGAAATTGAGAGCATTCGAATCAATCTCAATTTTCATCAACAAAGGAACTTAAGCACCTTGTGAACCCACATTTTCATAAAAATTTTAGTATAGGTAAAGCATAGCCTATCTAGGCACTTCTAAAAAAGTTTTAAGTCCGGTTTCAACCAAGCTGTATCAGTTTTAATACCAAAAATTGCGTTATCAGTGCAATCACCGATTTAGACGTTTTTCTCAACTTTTAGAACGTTTCAGAACATGAAGTCTAACGATATACATTGAGAATTGAATGAAATTTATATTTCGGACATTTTCATTCAAAAAAATTCTCGAATTTTTCGACAAAGAGAGTTTTCTTCGAAACATAAAAAGAACTATTTTGCGAGAAACTGTTTGCAGTATGAAATTTTATCCGATTTTATGTATAACATAATAAATTTTATTTACTAAAACGTCCTAGAAATTGAGAAAATCGTCTTTGAAAATCCCTGCATTGCATTGAAAACGCGATTTTTAGTAGTTAAACTGATATAACCCGCTGAAACTGGCGGGACCAATATTGAAACTTTCAGAAGTGTCTAGAGGCAATTCGTAACGTATCCTAAAATTTTCATAGAATCTAGGTTAAAAAAGTGTTGGTTCCTTTGTAAAACAAATTTCTGTAGAGTCGGAAATGCGTGAAAATTCGAAATACTCACTGAAAGATCAACTAGTTCGTGTACTCTTCAACCAAATCTGGATTAAAAATAAAAGGTTAATTTCTGATACCAGATTTTCATCAAAAGTGATGTGGGTGAGAAATTTTGAGAATGAACGAGAATCAAAGATAAACATGTGGAAAAGTTTTCACATTCAAAGGAATTTTTTTTTATTAAAACTTTGATATCAATTGATGAGAAAGCAAAGAAAAACAGCACATGCAACAAATGTTTTCTTTCTGACACATTTGTTTCTCCATTGAATAAAATGAAACCGAAGAAACGTTGTCAAGTCATGGGAAAGTAAACAAATAGGAATCCGTTGAACAGATTCTTATCCATCGCTTTCTGGGATTCCGAAAGAGAGCAAAAAAAGTTTCAGATTACAAGATTATCGAGGAAAAAATTTCTAATCCTTTCGATTAAAATTTTTACGATTATTATTAGTGGGATAAATCGGATAAAATGTATTTGAAGATGTTGAAAACGAAGTAAAACTCCTACTCAAAGAAATTAGGAGGTACGAATGATTCTAGATTAGGAAGATGATTCATCTCATCAGATGAAGAAAATGTAGGAAGTGGTTTTGGCATATTTCATTCAAAAAATAAGCTAAGAGTCTATCAGCCACCAATAAAACTAACAGTTGGTGCATCGAACCCGTGAAATTCGCGGGGCGGTGTAGTGTTTTCAAAAACGAGAAAAATATTGGCTTGATAAAGGATGAGCAGCAACGATTGATTGTGGTCAATTAATCAAGTCTCGAAGCAGTCGAAAAAACCAGCGGTAGAGATATTCATCAAGAATATCACGGGGGTTGGTGGAGGATAAAAGACAAAACAATAAGAAAAAAGATTTACCCTCCATATCTTCAGTCTGTTTGCTCTTTTAACCCTCCTTCTTCAATTTCCGTCATCAGACGTGTCCTGTCTGGGAGACAATGAATACAAATTTTCATTAATTTTTTGTCGTGTTTTGAGTTTTCTCCTCATTCAGAGAGACGGTTAAAAGAAAACAGGCCGGTGACAAATACCCCCAAAAAGTTTATAGAGTCTAGTAGTGCACTAAATGTAGACTGGTTTCTTTGTCATGCTCAAGTGCTAAGCTCCTCATATTTTTTTTGCAAAGGTTATCAGAAGACCTTATTAGGTTTCTTTCCAAATAGATGAAAAAGAATAATGAGTGCAGATAAGCAATGTCAGACTCAATTTCTAAGGAATCGAAAGCTAGGATCTCTAGAATTCTTTGCAAAAAAACAGAATATTTAAAATTCCTTACAAAAGGGAATTGCCTTCAAAACTGATCAATATCCTTTGTTATTCCATAAAAACAAACTGCTGCGCGTAGGCAAGACAAAACAAAAACTTTTGTCCAACGTTTTTTTGCATTCTAATGAATTGTCCAATGAGAAAAAAATTAGTGGGCATGGGAGGCTGTGTCTTCCCGTCAAAGATCTGTAAGTCTCCAACTTCAGAAGCTTGGAGATCAGTATTGTTCAAAAAATCCTAGATAAGAAGTTTTTTCTGGATGAAATGGAATAGCTGGACTGACTTGTAGGCGGCATCGAGAGATATAAATAACGTGATGTCTGGAGAAACACTAAAAACAGACGTTTTATGACAACAAGATGAAACAAAATGAAAAATATTTGCTCTGGGAAATGAACAGAAGTATGCAGGAGGCAGCGAGGGCGGTGGTGAAACAGCAGAAAGTAAGACGGAAGGTTTATGAATCCCCAGGCGACGTGCAACACGAACTACAGGACCAAATTCGTTTATTACGTATGCCGACAAAAAAACGTTGTGCAGTATATGCCCATTGCCTGCGCAGAAATGATGAAAAGCACCATTGAGAGTTTCGAAAAGACGGGGAGCCCCTTGTTGCAAAGCCGGGACTCACACCTTTTCCGAAATTCTCCAGGGGAATATAGGGAATGAGTCGTCAAAATTGGGAAAAAAGGCGAGAAAGCAGTCTTTGTTAAAGGAAAAAAATGTGTGTATTAGGAGATGAGACATGGAAACAAGCACAACACACGAAAACGTATTGTGCAGACCCAAGAAAAGAAAGAAAGAGTAGTTGCCTTAGTGTGAAGGTATTATCATATTTTTCAACTATGGATCATGTCTCTTGACAAGAATGAAGGATGGAGAAATATGGCAGCGGTGGGAAGAGAAAGGGAGAAAAAATACAAATTTAAAATTAGACTAGAAGCCGGATTTCGGGAAAAGAATGTGGGTTGAAAAAGATTTGCGGATTCGCCGTGACATCGCTTTTTGTTCTCTTTTTCTGGTTTTGATTTAAAAAAATGACACCTTCAAAAACATGTGATCTAGGGAATTCGCTTCATTTATAAATAAATACCACAAGCTAGAAGTAGGTTCCAAAATTTGTTTATGATCCAG